CGATGGAAGCGCCCCCGGAACAAAATTTTAGGGTAAGAGTAATTTTGAAGTTCTGCTTGTTTTTTAAGTTCATAAGTTTTTTATATGGAATGACACTGAGCGGTATCAAGCATGTACTGAGCATGTACCAAGCGGTACCGAGCATGTACCGAGCGGTACCGAGCATGTACCTAGCGGTACCGAGCGGTACCGAGCATGTACATTAGCTTTTTATTATTTAATAATCGGACACGCATGTCCGACACACGTATCCGTTTTAATTTTGTTTTTTTTAATTGCAACACTCCAACGCCGTGTCGGACACGTGTACATGCAATGTCGGATGTGTGTCTGTGTCCGACACGTGTCAGACACTGCATACCCTCTTTAAGCGGAGTGTCGGTGCATCATAGCTCATGGATGTTGGGCTTGATGCGAATAATGGCTTTTTCCCCATTAGCTTTTGAAATTGTGGAGTCAGAGTGCAATAATTCTTGGATATGGTTTCTTACCATGACTCATGATTTACTCCCTTCTATTACCAGTAAAAGTAATCTCTGTATCAAATCTGATCAGCATGCTGGATTGCTACGTGTATGTAGGGACATTCCCAGGTACATCACATCGTCATTATCTTAGACACTTGCATGAAAACTTTAAGAAAGATGTTTGACAAATGGGAGTATCTAATGTGTATATGCCAGAAGATGTACACATCAGGTAATACCGATAATACAAAAATATTCAATCAGTGCATGTTAGATATAATAAGAATAAAGCCTGAATATCATCAATAGTTAGTTGAAAGGGATGTTTCAAAGTCGACATTAATATTTGATGGTGGATTCCGATACGAAGTAATTACAACTAACACATCAGAAACCTTTAATGACATATTAAAGAGAGCACGTGGATTACCAGTACAAGCTCTCATTACTGCAATATATTATAATGTTGTTCAAATAGTTGTCCGACAGTTCGAGATTATTACTACTGAAGAACACCATAATTAAAACATATTCTCCAAACGAGTCCAGGCTAAATTGCGAAAACTTGAAATTAATGCAAGAAGAATACTGAAACCTACGCGGATTAATATCTATGAGTTTCAAGTATTTGATATGTCCTCAAGATCATACCATGTGGACGTTACACCGGGTGCTAACAATTTATGTAGTTGTAGAAGGACTATTATTTATCATATGTCATGTGCCCATGTAATAAATTCAACTGAATCAATCAGGATAAGTCATCTAGATTATGTTTCAGAGTATTACATAATGAATAACTTCAAGATGACTTAAATGAATTTAACACAATACCAGATAAGGAATATTAGCCAACTCATGATCCTACAGCTGGTCTGTACCCCTTTGAGCCCTCCAAATTTTAAAAGGAGATCTGGTAAGCCCAAGATTCTTAATCCAAAAACACAATGAATGAACCAAGGCATCAAAGTAGCAGGGTAAGTAGCTATTGTCATATAAATGGGCATAATAGAGCAACCTGCCCAAGACACTTTGCAAATAATTCGTGAAAGTATTGATCTTAAACTTATCTCCGTTTGAGTTGTGTGTGTTGATGTGCAAGTTATGTAAGAATGTAAGATTGCATTGTTGTTTGCTTTATGTTTGGTGTTGGAAAAAAAAACTTTGTATTATTGTCCAAGCTATTTAATTTTGGTTTATTCTCCTTGTTTGCTTTATTTAGTTCATTTGATGTAATTGTGCAACAAATTTAGTTTGTTTTATAAAGAACAAGTGCGTTTGGGTTAAATGGTAAATTAGACTTCTAAGTTTATATAGATTTGAAAGTGAATATACTTTAGAGTAATCATTTGGGTTGATACATTCAATATGAAATTAGTACTTCTATATTATTTGAACATATAGTAATTGGTAAATATAAAAATTAATCAAATCCATTTATTATAATATGAATTGGTACTAAACAATCTTTATGATAAATAAATATATTGTTATTGATTTTGCCTTTTGGTTTTTCATTTTATTGATTTATAAATATTTATAAGACAACTATAGATAAAATAACAACATCATATTTATGATAATTGCTATCTTGTAATTATGAAATCCATATATCACATCATGACTATTCGTAGCATATTAATATTTTAGTTGTGTCAATCTAAGCTTAGTATTACTTCAATTTTAATATTTTAGTTGTGTCAATCTAAGCTTGCATCAGTTATCGAAACTAATGATTTTTCTTTTTTATTGTGCTTTTATTAACATTACATTTATTTAATATGTTGATCTTAATGTTTTTTTACTCTCATTTATGTTAGAAATAAACGGATTTTTAATGTGAAATTGCAACTATTATGATAGAAAGTCAACCAGCTCGACGAAAACATAAAGCTAAAAAATATATAGCACAGGGGGATGAAGACCAACATCTATGATGATGGATCTACATCCCAGCATTGTCTCACTACGTGGGTCACACAGAGCATCCCATCCAGATGAGGTATAATTTATTGTAATTTATTATAAGGATCGTACATCCATTTAATGTTTGTAATGCCTTTCAATCTTTGCACATGAAGGGAATAATTTTGAAAGCTGCTTCGCATCTTCTAATGGTTCATAAGTGATCAATAAATTGTTTGAGATTTATGGAAGGCCTTCAAATCTTAGGATTGGATTATGTTAGTCTGATGTGATACATTAGGATGGATCGCAATCTTCTTACAACATTGGTTGAGCGCTGGTCACCATAAATAAACTCATTACACTTACTTGTATGTGACTTACTTGTATGTGAGATGAGTAATATATTATAGGATGTTGCTCTCATATTGAGTCTTCACATTGATGGGCCGGCATTGATTAGTAACAGTGTTATTGGCCCTGGTAGATGATGGGTTAGTTGGCTTAATTGTTTTAATGATCTACTAGGGTAACACCCTCAGCGAGATGTCATGTATCATGATCCATTCAACCCACAACTCTCTTCAAAGTTCATGATGGGACATGCACAAACTCAGACTTATTTACCTTTGAGATGACTACGTTATATCTTTTATAGGGATTCATATTTGGACTTGACCGAACTAGATTTTTGGCGGCATGTTCGTGCGTACATTCTCTTTTTGATGGGAACTTACCTACT